GCTCCTCAGGTATAGGCAGACTGGCCATGTGCCATGCAGATGGGATGGCCTGGAATGCCGCTGAGAGCCGGGACCTGCTCCCTACAAAGCTAGCAGTTGGCTTGTTTATTGTTCCTGGAGCCTGTGCTTAGCTATTTCCCTTGCCTGTGCATCAGAAGTGAGCTGGGAGCGCTCACGTCCCTGATAAGAGCAGGCTCACGCTGCTCTTTTCTCTTACCATTTTATGTTCCCTTGCTGCTTGATCCTCTTGCTTCTCTGCTTTCCCTACCTTCTGCCCAGCACTGTCCAGGTCAGCATACCTGCATGTGTTTCTAAGTGAGCTGCCGGTGTGATTGAAATCATGGCCCCATATCAGCACTCTGTGTGACTGTTCAAAAAGCACCAGTTTAGTCTAGCCACATAGAGCTTGCCTGATCTAGTCGACTCAGGTTTACCTTCCCATCCTAAATCTCAGCAGTCAGCACCGGCCAGCGAGCTTATTCCCTGGTGCACGTTGGCATTGTGAATGGGAGTCGAGCTGCCTGGGCAGGAGCCAGTGTTTGAGGACATCCTGGTATCTGAGAGCTGCATTCGGAAGCCTACAGGCATTATGTGCTGTCTCTGATGTGAATACAGCATCCAGCTCCCCTTTATCATCTGAGCTCCACTTTGGGTCCACTTTCCCATAATTTTCTGTGGAGTCACTGGAAAGGTCAGAGGTCAGGAGAAGACCACATGCAAGGATCTGGGGGCTTCATTCTGAGACATGCAAGTAGGCACAATAACAGATGAAGCTGGAGACATAGGAAATTGTGAGGGAAAGAGATTCTACTGGGTGCAAATATGAATGTGCACACACACACACACACACACACACACACACTCACACACACACTCACAGGCACAGGCACATGCAAGCAGAGTTTAAATTAAGACCAGATAGTAAGTGCTCCTCAACTCACACAGCCAAGGACTGCAGTTTGATGGTTGATAACAGGTATAAGAGAAGATTTGTTCAAAGCAGCCTGTGTGCTCCTGGAGCAGCATTTTTATACTGAGATGGAATACCTTTGGGTGCTCAACCAATAGGGTTACAGGTTTGGCCCAGAGTCACATGCCCTGAGAGTAGACCACTGGGCTCTTAGCTGAGCACTTTTGCAGGGAAGGTATTTGTGTATCATATAATGAGGAATCTCTTAATCACCCCCTCACAGCAGCTGTACAGCACCTGCCTTGGCTCCTTCCAGGCGTGCCTGCTGCGGACGCTGATCCCTGGAGGGATTCCAACTGCGCTCTGGAACTGTGGCAGGTGGCGAGCAGCCAGAGGCTCTTACTGAGCACTGTCTGAGCGCGGTGAGGGGGACCCAGGAGGAAACTGAAGTGACTGCTATTCTTGAGGATGTAACACCGAGTAGGAAGACAGATCAAAATCCCTGCAAGGTGACCGAAAACAAAGATCTTTACATGATAAATCACCTACTTGTAATAATTATGGGCGCTAACATTTATCGAGCATCGTATAGGTGCTTTGAGTACTTTTGGTTAATTCACTTAAATCTTCTCCGCTCTATGTGGCAGGCATTCTGATGATCTCCCGCCTTCACCACCACCTACATGCTGTAGTTGGATGAGCGCATGCGCAATGTGCTCCAGGCACCTTTCAGGCCCCTTGGAGAGGCCAAAGGTCAGAGGTCCATTTCATTTGGCTGAAGAGTTCACAACACGAGGCTGTGGGGTAGGGCACTGTGGGGCAAGGTGAGGTGTGCTTGAGGAGTTTTTGTTCAGGGGCTCAACCGAAGGTATTAGCTTGCTAGATCCTGGAGGATGCAGACTTAAGGGCTGAGTTCAAAACAAAGGGCAGAGCGCAGGCCTCAGGGCCAGCCCAGCTCCGCCCAGGAGGAGCGCCAGCTGCTCTGAGGCTGAGTAAAGGAGAACGAAGGGAGAAAGATGTGCTGCACTTTGTCTACCACAGCTGGGGACAAAGAATCCTGCCTTTTGTGGTTTCACGTGATTCACAAGCAGAGAGACTCAGTTGTTCTTTAAAATAAGAGTGATCCTTCTCTGTCTTTTTCTGTTTCTGGTTTCCGGTTTCTATCTGTCTTTCTGGGTCTTGGAGGCAGGGCTTAAATAGATCTATACTCAGATTTTGTGCTGTGAATTCTTCCCTACGCACACACACACACTGCAGGGCAACCAGCATGGAAGGGATTTCATGTGCTTGCGTTCTCCAGAAACAACAGGTCCTGACAGGGCAGGTGTGCACCGCCTGCGTGCCTCAGGTGGACTGAGGGTGCCAAAAAGGGACGAGGAGGCACGTGGGGCAGCCGGAACACATGACCCGAGAAAGCCGGGATTCCACGGGGGCACTGCAGCCCTCTGCGCAGAGGCCCTTTTTGGCTCTTCTTCCCAGCTGCCTAGAGCTGGGTGTCACTGGGGAGCTCCCTGGCCTGGGAGTCAGGGGAAAGAACCAACCAAGGTGCAGCACTGCCCTGGCGTGCCACTCCCCAAGACACCTGGCCAATCCGGCCATAAGCTTCCTCCTACCTCCTCTGATGGCTAAATGCCCTTTCACCCCTCCTCCAGCAGGCGCCTTCTGTGTGACCCCCTGCCTAGCACCCCTGCACATTTCCCCAGGCTCCTTCCTCATCCGGCCTCTCTCTACAGCAACTTCCCAGGGTGCTCTGTGGCCCATGCTGCTCTTTCTGATCTACTCTGAAAGGGCTCACTTGCTCCTTGGTGTCTCCCTTTGCTCCAGAGTCTTGCCTGTGCCCCCACTCTTCCTTCCTTTGCGCTCCACCCCCTTTTCTCTCTCTGTGTCCAGCTGGAGTGAAGCATCAACCTCTGTTCCTCCTCCTTGTTCTGCTGGTCACGGTGACTTCTACAACGACTACCATTCCCTGAGTTAACTGCCCCGAAAGATAAAATGCTCTCTCTCCTCGTCTCACTTCCCAGAACCTCACCTCTGCATCTTCATTAGAATTTCCTGAATGTGGTGGGGGCTCCTTGTGACCAAGCATTCAAAACTTGCAAAAGCTATGTGGCTGCATTTCTTTCTGCTGTTTCCATTGAAGACAATCATTGCTGATTTGCTCAACTGCCTCTGATTACAGGTCCTCAGAGGGGCTGAGAGGCAATTTAACAAACTGCTGAGTACCTCTGGGGTAGGTTCAACCATGCTGGGGAGCTGACGAATATCTGGCGTGCAGGATAGCTGGGAGGAAGCAGCAGGTGCCAGTCTGCACTCAACAGACTACCGTGTGTCCAATATAAGCTGGAGGCAGCAGGCAGAGAGGTGTGTCTCTAGCTGTGACTGGCTGCCCGGGGATGGCAGGAGAAATTCCACTGCCGTTGGTCCTGTGTGCAGTCTAAGCCAGCACTCGGCTCGGGGACCCTCATGCGTGTCCTGCCTTCACAGGCCGCCCCTCACTTCCTGAGCAACCTGTATATACCAGCACTGGAGACTCTGCCAAACCTCTCCCTCCCTTGCAGCCCCTCCCGAGCAAACCATAATCTCGCAGGCAGACAATGCAGATAGGACAACTATTCAGAAAAACGCGTGGCTGGGGAGGCTCAGGACAAGTCCCAACTGCACCTGCAGGTTTTCCTTTCCTGAGGCCGCCGGGCACTGGCTGAGCTGCACCTGCCGCGGGCCAGCGCCTGCCTCAGCCACATACCTGGCGCTGCTGCAGGCCCTGGCCTGCTCCACATCCTGCTCTGCCTGCCATCCCCTCTGCCTGCTGTGTCCCTTCTCAGCAGCCTCCAGCACGGAGCCTGTCCCTCACCCACCAGCCGTTTGAGGACCTGTAACCGCGGGCTAGGAAAGCGACAGAGAAGTAGCACCTCCTGCTTGCCTCTCTGCGTTCTTTACATAAAATTTCTGTCTGAAGACCTTTCCCTACTCAGTTAATCATTTTTCTTTTCCCACTACCTCCTCCCCCTTTCTTCTTTTTGTCCTCTGTTTCCTCTCTCTCTTTCTTTTATTTTTTGAGGCTGCAGCAACTCTGATTTCCCAGACCGTGCGCTCCTTGAAGGCAGGGCAAGGAGCTCTTTTCACACATCTTTTCTAGTATTTGTCTGCGGTTGTCAGAAGCAGGGGAAAGTCCACATCATGCAGGAATCCAGCTGGGAGAAAATAAGAAGAGTGTGCCTACCTCAAGTCAGAGACTCAGGAACACTCCTAGAGCTGCTGTGCTCTCTTCTGCATTCACAAGAATAGCAAACAGCACCAAGTAATTAAAATGCAGGGAGACAAGAGGTATGCGTTGCTCTTAGTCAAAGTTACACTATCTAAATTAATAACAGAGCAAGCAGACCACAGTATGACTTTGGCTTACTGCAGCTCACATAACTTGGAAGCAAGTTCCTGTTTACACAATAAGATTTTATGCTTTTATACAAATCATGCATCTTATTGATTTCTTTCTGATATTCTAGAACTTGAGGGCCAACCTAAAAAAAAGAAAAACCACATTAAATGTTGTGGATGGTTAATCAGGCTATCGTTATTAACAGTAATGTGACAATGCTCTAGAATTAATGGTATCTTGGCAGGGTGAGAAAGATATGCAAAGAATGCTAGTGAGTCTCTTAAATGGGATACACTACAATGTGTGTCTAATGTTTGTCCATGTCCTTTGAGTTTGTGATGAGGGAGATGGGTGTGTGTGTGTGTGTGTGTGTGATAGAGGGATAGATACATAGAGAAAGAGAGAGAGAAAGAGAGAGAGAGAGACAGAGGGAGAGAGAAAGAAAGAGAGAATTTTACTGAGTCCAAATCTACCGTTTATAATGGAGTATTATCCTAGCTCTATGAGATTAATTTCTCTAAATTAATTCAATTATAAAAGACATTGTAGAGATATTCTGCAACTTCCTTATGCTAAGGCAGCAATGTCACACATGTACCACAAGACAGGACCCAAAAGTTAGGGTTTCTAATGACCATGCAGTTGGTTCCATACTTAACTATACGCGAACTCCTATGATAAGCATACTTAAAGACAGAGCACTCAATGTTTACCTGTGGTGATCTATGAATCTATATCATAGTAGACATTATTTTATTCATTCTTCTCTTACAAAAAGCTAATGAGTAGGGGCAGAGAAAGCAGGTTTCAAGATAATTTTATAAAAAATTATAATTTGTAGGGTAATTTATAGCATGCAAATGGGTGACCATACATCCTGCTTTGCCTCAAACCACCCCAGATTGCATGTTCAGGTGTAACTGTGAAAATCTTTTACTCTCAGTATCATCCTAGTCTGGATGTTAAATACTGTAGCACCCACAAATCTATAAATCACTTTTAGTTATATCAGACTTCCAAAGTGCATGTGATCTGCACAGTGCCATGTGGTATCTTGTGACAATGAGAGGGAATCAGGGGTGGACGTGGTTAAAAGCCTTGGCTGCAGATTCAGGTCTAGCAAATACATGCTATCACACGTACCAGCTATGGATCCTTGGGCTAGTTATGTGCAACTGGGAAGCACCTCACCGTAATTTCTTGAATTTGCCAGTTGATCACTTGGCCTTTTATAACTGGCATCTTCTCCAGACAGAAACCCTTCTCTTTCACCATTCAAGATGGCTTAAATGCACATTCCTTGTCCTTCTCCCTTTGAGTAACCTAATTTCTGCTGTTCTTCTCACAAGCCAGCAGTGGCCTCAGCCTCCCTTCACTATCTCTGAAGTTTCTTGACCAGCCCTGGAGTCACCAGCTTTTGACGGCCTGATAGCCAAGGCATGGAGTTCATCACGCCTAGACTCCTGGGGAAGCAAGGTCCCGGTCACTTGTCCACATTCCTACTAGTACCGAACATGAAAGCCTTTACATGAAAGCTGAAACTTTCCCCTGAAGAAAATCCCAGGGTGTATTTAAGTAAGAGGGGACAGGGAAAGGTGTCAGTGGTCTTACTCACAACACAAGAGCATTTCACGGTGGTCATCGCCTTGAGCGTCCATTGGCAGATTCTTCAGGTAGCCTGGGGCACGAAGTTATTTCACTCGTGCTCAGGGATATGTGGCTAGAAGGACAGAAGTTGCTGTGGACAAGTCTTCAGTGTTAGAAGTAAATAAGACCTGAAGCTTAGCTTTGCTTTTTACTGGTCTGGGACACAGAAAATCTTTCTTGATTTTTCTAAAAATTTCCTCAATCGGTAGGATGAAAATAGGAAACCATGTTCATGCCTACCTGTTAAGATAGTTGTGAGAAACTGATAAGGTGCTCTATGTAGAGAGCTTAGCATAACAGTGCTCATTGGATTTCTGTGTTATGCATTATTAAGAGTCTGTGGATTTATTCCATTTTCTGATTGTAAAGGATTCATTAAAGAAACCTTGACCAAATGATTTTAAATAGTGTTCTAGACTGTTCTGTGCTCCTGTGCTAATGGTTCCTCCACAAGGCGGTGACTCATATTCCAAATGCTCCTCACAGAGGACACTTCTGAATCTCCTTCCTTCTGGCCACGCTGAGCTGCATGTCAGGATGGGCGCAGTGTCCTTACATGAGTGACAGCTTGCTCAGGGTCTCCATTCACTGACGCAAAGATTTTAGAGATGCAGACAGGAGGTGGGAAGGTGCACCTTGGGTTAAAGGGAGGGTAGACTGTATTTCACTCAATTTATTCAAATGTCCTTTAAGCTGACAAGCCTTTACCCCAGGGAGCTCTCTGTGAGCCTGGCTGGGGCCACATAATAAGGGCACTGTGAAGCAGAGCAGGCAGGAGGGAGGCAAAAATAAACAAGAGGATGTGTGTCTTAGGGGGAGGAATATTTTCTTGGTGGATTAAGTAGGAGGCGGGAGGTACATACAAAGCCACAAATTACCGAGGATGGAACTGTGAGCAGCTAACTGCTGCAGAGAGCAACGGCTCTGATGAAGTTATTTCAAGTGCAGCAGGACGCCTGGTTTCATTCAAGAGACCTTACGTTCCATTCTCTTCCTTTTCTACTCTCCCACGAAACTGAGCAAGATTCCTTGAGGTACATCTAACAAGAGGCGTCTTGGATTTGGATTGTCTTCTTCTTTGGTGATAATAAAGACTGGAAAACACTTCTAAAGATCATCTGCTTCTAACAGAGGGGGCAATCAATACGTCAGAAAATACAAGTACATGTCTGCTGTTTCTTTTTGATGCGGGATCTGGAAGTATGGAGAATTCAGAGCAGCTCCAAGGAGCTTTGTCCAGATGCTTGTCTTCACATTTAACTTCCTTTATCAATTGTTTTCAATTCAAAATGATGTTACTATGCATGACTACGTGTTACTCTACTGGGAGGAGAGGGGCTGCTACAACAAGCCCAAACAGTGACGGGTGGTGACTTAGCCACACATGGCACAGAACTGTCATCTTGTACCATGACTGAGAAGGGTACATTCCTCCTCATGGCACAGAGTGGGAGCCTAGTGAATGTTTGGGATGATTTTATGGTATGAGCAATTGCAGGCCTGGTTTCTTGCAAGTGGAGTCTTGTACACAGAGATATTTGTGGGCTAAGAATGCAGGACTACCAGTTTTCAGGGGTGGTTTTTAAATCCTGTAGTTAAAAAAAAAGCACTTGATTGTTTCCCAACAGAATCTCTCTGTGCTGCTTGAGGGGCGGTATGTACCTCTCTCAGAGGTCCCCAGTGCAGCTCTCTGTTGCCTTTGGAGTGAAGAGGAAGGCAAAGTATTGAGGAGTTGGTGAGAAGAAGGCAACAGACAGCCTTCCAAATCATAGCTGCCTGTCCACCACCCCCACTCAGTCACTCCAGAGAAAGCTGTGCCTGGGTTCTATTGGCTGTACTTACAGGAGGAGAAGTCAGGCCAAGCTGAGCAGCAGGAAAGTGAGGCCCCGAACAGGCTGAAGGGAGAGAGCTGTTCTTCAAAGAACAAACCTAAAGTACAAAAGTACAAATGGTCCAAAAGTACAAACTCTGTGTGTACACAGATGGCCCTTTTATCAAAGGAGTGAATGTCCACGTTAAAGTCATTTATGAGTTGCTACAGTAGTGAAATCAAGAGAATACGACAGTGTACGTACAGTACCAGCAGGACATGCTTTGGGCACATTATGAGGAAGTGCAGCAGATGTCTGGAATGTTCTAGTCGGTCATCCAGAAGCTCTGAGTTCTTACAGTTAAGGGAAAGCATCATCCTAAGCCACTCTGACATCATTTAGGGATTTTTTCATTAACTTTTTTTAAGGTTTAAATAACCTGAAGTAATAAAAGAGCATTATTCACATAGATCAATATATAGTCAACTTACAATAAAAATTTTAAGTACAGATGTATGTCTTCAAATGATAAATTTAAATCAGCAGTTGGGCTCTGGAGAACTCCACCAACAGAAGACCAGTCCCAGCCCCCACATCCAGAGGCCAAGATCCGCTCCATGCCCAGCACAATTCCCATAGTAAACTTGGCTGGAGTACACAGCACATTTCTGGAATCTGACATGGACAATATCACAGAACTGTAAACACGGGAGCTATTTTACTACTTTTATTCTCTCTTGTTTGTCTGATTGGTTATCCATTTCCTGTTTGGTTAGATGTCATCTTGTTTTGTTTTGTATTTTGTGATTATTTTTGGTTTGGGTTTTTTTTCCCTCTCTCCTCTCTCTCTTTGGTCTCCTTTCTTCTTTTCCTTTTCATTCTCCTCTTTCTTCCTTCTTTTTTTTCACTCTTTAGATTTCTTACCTTTCTTTTTCATTTTGTTCTATTGATTCTCTTTTTTCTCTTTCCTCTACTTCTTGAAAATAATCTTTCACGTTAGAAAACATTGTATCTTCACTTTTTTGATTACTCCTTTGCATTCTATTTCATTCTTTCCCTCCTCTGTCATCTATTTTCCCAAAACTCGGATGGTTATCCTTTGAATTCCAGCCTTGACTCTCCTATATTTGACCTCATTCATCCCTTTATCCTTTCCTCGGCTTATTTTAACCCTCCTCCATCCCCATATAGGTAAAATTACTCCACTAAATGGAAAATCACTGCATACAAGTACATGGTATATGTTTGATTTTGTTATATAACTTTAGAGTTCACTCCTGTGGTCAGAGGTAGCAGGTTAATGGTTACCACAGTTTTTCAGTAGTTAAGCTGTGCTTGAAACTATTGTTATTACTAACTGTAGGATGTCATACATGCTATAATCAGTTTTTCTCCCCTGTATGATAACACTGTGATTGTATGGGGTCCTAATAATCACTACAGCCCATTACCAAAGGATTGGGTGTTGAGCCAAATAGTAACTTTGCCGCTTTTACAAATTGGGAAGGTAGGTTCTTGGGATAGCTATAAAGAACCACCTACATCTAGAGGACATCCCCAAAGAATGGACACCTCCTGGGGAAGCTTCAGTACTAGTGATAAAGCTATATATCATAAGAAATGAGCAAGTATTAGCCTAGCAAACAAAATGAAATTAAAAAGAGAAAATAGAAAATGACAAGACACAGAAGCAAAATGCAACCCACCCAGGACACCCCACCCAGGACAAACTTGGAACACAATGAGATAGATGAAATTGGAAGTCAAACACTGAAATTGTTGAAATGATAGCAATAGAAAACAAGTCCAAAAAACTATAAAGAAAATAACCTCTCAGGTACAAAAAGAAATGATGCTTAAAATCAAAGATACTAGAGAAGATACGGATAAAAGAACATATGAGCTTATAAAAATGATGGAAACAAAAAATGCCCAACATAGGAAAGAAAAGGAATCTATGAAGCAGATCCAAACAGAAATCCAAGACATTAAAACATCTACTGAAAGTATATGCAATAGATTGAATGAAGGAAAGGATAGAATATCAGATTTTGAAGACAGAATTGCAATTAGTGATCAGGAAAAATAAAGATATCTTAAAAATAAAGGAGGAGACCATGGAAAATCAGTCCAACAGCTACAAGATGATGCAAAGAAGAATAACATAAGATTGGAGTCAATGAGAAAGCTGGAGACAGCACAAATGCCATAAAAAACTCTTCAGAGATAATGGAAGAAAACTTCCCAAGTGAGGGTAAAGAATTTGACATAGAAATAAATGAAGCATAGGGAACTCCAAACAGACATGACCAAAATAAAACTATACTAAGACATATAATAATGAAATTACAGAAATTCAATGCAAGGACAGAATATTAAAAGTTGTTACAGAAAAAAAAAACATCACCTATAAAGGAAAGCCCATCAGAATCACAGCAGGCTCCTTGACACAAACCCTCAAGTCAAGAAAAGCTTGGAGTGAAGTATTTCAAGTCCTGAAAGAAAAGAGCTTCCAACCCAGATTGATGTATCCTGCAAAACTATCTTTCAAAATTAATGGAGAAATAAGATACTTCCATGACAAGGAACAACTGAAAAAATTCATGACCACCAAACAAAACCTACAAAGAGTACTGAAAGATATTCTAGACGGAAATAAAAATGACCATAATTCCAACAACAGAAAGAAACCACCAGGCAGAGCAAGCAATTAAAGAGAGGAAAGCAGTGAATCAACAGTAGGGAAATATGACAAAGATAAGCCAGTACATATCAGTTGTAAATGTCAATATAAATGGCCTCAATTCACCAACGAAAAGAAAAAGACTGGCAGAATGGATCAAGGAACAAGATCCAACAATATGTGGTAAATAAAAAAACACATTTAACTCAAAATGAAATTCATAGACTGAAAGTCAAAGGATGGAAAATAATCCTCCATGTAAGAGGAACCCAGAAAAAAGAAGGGATAGCTATTTTGTTTATAGACACTGTGAATTTGAAACTAAAAATGATCAAAAGTGATAAAGAAGGTCACTACATATTTGTTAGGCGAAAACTTCAGAGAAGAGATAGCAATCATAAATATGTATGCACTAACTATGGGAGCTCTCAACTACATAAAACAATTATTATAGACATGAAAAATCAAATAAGCAATAACATAATTGTAAGGGGAGACCTTAATACCCATGATCACAAAGAGATAGATCAACTAGACAAAAATTCAGCAGAAATATCAGAATTGAACCAAACTTGTGAACAAACGTACTTAGAAGATGCTTTCAGTGTTCCACCCAACATCATCAGAATACACATTCTTTTCAGGTGCACATGGGACATTCTCTAAAATAGACCATATACTAGCCCATAGAACACTCTGAAATAAGTGCAAAGGAATTGAAATTATCCCATGCATATTATCTGTCCATAGTGCAATGAAATGAGAAATTAATGGCAAAAGAAACTGCAAAAATCCCATAAACACATGAAAATTAAATAGCATACTCCTAAACAGCCAATGGGTCACAGATGAAATTAAAGAAGGAATTAAACAATATTTACAGCTAAATGAGAACACAGATACAACATCCCAACTTATGGGATGCAAGGAAAGTAGTCTTAAGTGGGAAATTTCTAGTGGTGAATTCTCACATCAGGAAACAGAACAAGCACAAAGAACCTAACACTGCACTTCAAGCTTCTAGAAAAAGAAGAGCAAGACAAACCCAAAGCCCATATAAGGGAAGAAAGTATAAAGATTAGAGGAGAAATTAACACAATGGAGACTGAAAAAACAATACAAAGAATTAATGAATCAAAGAGTTGGTTCTTTGAAAGAATACAACTGATAAGCCCTTGACAAACTTACCAAAAAAAGGAAAGAATAGACTCATATTCATGCATTGAAGAATTAAAAGGGTGAAATCATTACATATCCTGTGGAAATTCAGAAGATCATCAATACCTACTTTGAAAATCTGTACTCTCAAGGATAAAAAACAGAAACGAAATGGACACCTTTCTAGATACATATGAATTACCAAAGCTGAATCAAGAAGATATAAAATTTCTTAATAAATAGCAGTTTATGAGATCAAATGTATAATTAAAAAAGTACCAACAAAGAAAAGTCCAGGTCTTAATAGATTCATTGCTTATTTGTACAAGAAACTTAGAGAAGATTTAATGCCAATACCCCTCAAACACTTTAATGAAATTGAAAGGGAAGCAGTACTCTTTAACTCATTCCTGGAGGTGAGTCTTACCCTGATACCAAAAGCAGGGAAAGACTCAACCAAAAAAGAGAACTACAGGTCAATCTCATTAATGAACATAGGTGCAAAAATCCTCAATAAGATACCAGCAAACAGAATGCAGCAAATCATCAAGAAGATTGCATACCATGACCAAATGGGACTCATCCTAGGAATGTAGGGATGGTTCAATACACACAAATCAATAAATGTAATACACCATATCAATAGAGCCAAACACAAAAATCACACATCATCTCAATAGATACAGAAAAAGCTTTTGACAAAGTCAACACTCATTCATGATAAAAACCCTAGAGAAAATTGGAATAGCTGGTCTTTACCTCAATTCAATAAAAGTCATCTATGAAAAACCAACAGCCAACTTCATACTAAATGGACAAAAATTGAAAGCTTTCACTCTAAAATCAGGAACAAGACAAGGGTATCTGATATCACCACTCCTACTCAACATAATTCAGGAAACATTATCCAGAGCAATTAGACAAGAGAGAAGAATAAAAGGAACAAGGATCGGAAAGGAAGAAGTGAAATTATCACTGTTCACAAATGACATGATACTCTACATAGAAGACCCTAAAAACTACACCAAAAGACCTCTGGATATAATAACTAAGTTCAGTAGAGTACTGGATAAAAAGTCAGCACTTAAAAATCAATAGTATTCCTATATACAAACAACAAACTCACTGAGAGAGAAATTAGGAAAACCACATCCTTCATAATAGCATACAAAACCATGAAATACTTAGGAATCAATCTAACAAAGGAAGTTAAAGATCCAAATATTGAAAATTACAGTACTCTGAAAAAGGAGATTGAAGAATATATTAGAAAATGGAAAGATATTCCCTGCTCATGGATAGGAAGAACCAGCATAGTGAAAATGGCCATACTTCCAAAATTATTACACAGATTTAAAGAAAGCACAAACAAAACATCTTTAGCATATCTCACATAATTAGAGAAAACATTCCTAAAATTCATTTGGAACCAGAAAAGACTTAGAATAGCAAAAGAAATTCTGGGCAACGAAGGCAAGGTCTGAGGCACCACAATCTCTGATTTGAAATTATACTACAAATCTACTGTGATAAAATCAGTATGGTACTGGCAAAAAACCCACACTAGACCTAAGGATCAATGGAACAGATTAGAAGATGCAGACACAATGACAAATCCACTCAGCCACCTTATCTTTGATGAAAGGGCCAAACATGTTCACTGGAAGAAAGCCTCTTTAATAATTGGTACTGCAAAAACTGGCTTTCCACATGCCAAAAACTAAAACTAGACCTATGTCTATCACTATGCACTGAATGAAAGTCAAAATAGATCAAAGATCTAAACATTAAAACAAAAACACTAAATCTACTCAAAGAAAAAGTAGGTAGAAATCTTGAAGATGGAGGATTAGGCAGAGACTTCATAAGCAAAACACAAACTGCATGAGAAATACTTCAAAGAACCAACTAGTGTCTCATTTTATTAAAAAGCTTTTTCACATCAAAAGAAATCACCAACAGAGTGAAAAGACAACTCTACAGAGTGGGAAAATATTTTAGCCAACTGTCCCTCAGACAAAGGACTTCTATCTAGAACATATAAAGAATTGAAAAAAAATCAGACACCACCAATTGAAAGACCCAATCCAAAAGTGGGCATCTGAGATTAATATGCACTTCTCAGATGAAGAAATACAAGTAGCAAATAAATATATGAAAAATTGTTCAACATCATTGGTCATTTGAGAGATGCAAAGTAAAACAACACTGAGATTTCATCTTTCCCCAGAAAGAATGTCCATCATCAAAAATCAACCAGTAACACATATTTGAGGAGCTGTAGGGAAAAAGGAACCTTTATCTACTATTGACGGGAGAGTAGGCTGGTGCAACCACTATGGAAATCAGTGTGGAGACTGCTAAAAAAACCTAGGATTAAAGGTCCCATTCAACCTAGCTATTCCCCTTCTGTGGATATTCCCAGAAGAATTAAAAACATCATACCACAGCGATATATGTGCACCCATGTTTATAGCAGCACAATTTGTCATAGCTAAATTTCGGAAACAACCCAAATTCTCATGAACCAACGAATGGATAAAAAAGGAGGTGATATTTTTTATACAATGGAGTACTACTCAGCTGTAAAGAAGGATAATCTCGAGCCTTTAATAGGTAAATGGATGCAACTAGAGACCATACTCATAAGTGAAATAAATCAAACTCACATGTGTAAACATTGTATTGTCTCCCAAGTGTAAGAAGCTGAGAGTAAATAAAATAAAAAATGTACAATAGATATTGTCAAATGGGAAGAAACTGTTCAAAAGGAAAGAGAAACTGGGATGGGGGAAAGGAGAAAGGAAGGAAGGGAAAAGGGAAAAATTATATATGATAGTTAAGATATTTATACTACTAATTTCTATTAGTTCATTGAAAAGGAACATTTGTGCTTACTCTGTTTGATCAATTTTTCATGCATATATTTTGTAATCTGAGCAACTACTTTGAAGATAACAATATGTAGTATATTAACCATTGTTACGCTCCTACTATCTTGTTTTAAAATGTTGTAACATTGTTTTTATTGTTTTTTCTTTTTAACATAAAAAAGATAACTTTTTATCTTTTAAGATAAAAAGATAACTTTTTAACATAAAAAAAGATAACAAGAGGTTTTGGAACAAAAATTTCTAAAATATTTTTCAGTGACCCTCAATTACTTTGTAAACAGAAAATTCAATTAAAAAATTAAAATTGAGGAAGCAATATCAGCAAGATGCTGAACAAGGAGGTTCCAGCCTTTACTGCCCTCCAAATGCAACAGTTAACCTGACCCACAAACAGCTCTGCGAGAGCTCAGGATAAAATGCAGAAGCTGCCACTACCTATTAAGACACAAAATTCAAGGATGGCTCATGAAAAGTATTGGAATTATTTTATATACCCTATCCCACCCCCCAGTAGAACACCACTAGGGCATAAAGGAGAGCTCCACAGCAATGACCTCTCCCTGTGGAAGAGAAGGATATTAGCAGGACTCCAGCAGCCTTTCCTGCTGAGGGGTGCAGCACTTCTGCCACCAAGAAGGCGGGGGATGGTGAAACACCTACTGCTTTCAAGAGTGATGACCTTGCAGTCTTCACCTACAATTGATGACCCCGACTGAAGGAGCTGCCCCAAGTCCTAGCCGCTGTGCTCATTGGGAGCTAGAGCTGCCATACTTCCTAGCTGTGCCCTCATCCCTGTGGCTACAACCCTAGTGCAAAACTCAAAAAAATCTCATTAAAAAATCAGTAAAGGACTTGACTACACCTTTTTCAAAGATATGCAGGTGGCTAAGAAGTGTATAAGAATGGGCTCAGTACCACTGATCAGCAGGCACATGCAAATCAATACCATACTGAGACATCACTTCACCTCAGTCAGAACGCCTATGAGCAAAGAGATAATAAACGCTGGGGAGGATGCGGAAGAGAGGAAAACCTTGCACATTGTCAAGGGAATGCAGATTGGTGCAGCTACTTTAGAAAATAGTAATGAAGTTCATCCAAAAGTTGAAAAATAGAGCTAACATATGAACACCCAATCCCATATATATACATATATATATATAGAGAGAGAGGAAACAAAATCAGTATCATAAAGAATCCTCTGTACCTTCATGTTCACTTCGGCATTATTCACAGAGGCCGTAACATAGAAACAACTAAATGATTGTCAATAGACAAATGGATAAAAATATGACATGCATATGTAGATGTAGATAGATAGAGATATACACTTGTGCACTGGGATATTATTCAGCCTGAATACAGAAATTATGCCATTTATGATAACATGGATGAACAGGGAGGACTTACGATAAGTGAAACAAGACCTACACAGAAAACAGAAGAAAACAAAACGGAGACAGCATGATCTTATTTGTGTATGGAATGTTCAGTAGTGAGACCCATAGTAGCACAGTGTATAATAGAGGTTTCCAGCTGCTGGGGATGGGAGGGGAAAACAGGGAGAGGTAGTCAAGGGCTATGAATTTGCAGTTATGCAAAATGAACTAGTTCTGGAGTCAGACCATGTGTGTTCATTTAGCAATACTATGTTAGATGTCCGAAATCCACTAAGGGGGGTAGATCTCATCCAAAAAAGAGAAAATAAGCATGTATGCTGATGTACATATCAATTAGCTTCATAGTAGTAATTATTTTAATACATATAAATCTCAAAACTTGAAGATGCACACCTTAAGTATATACAATTTAAATTGGTCAATTATCTCTCAATAAAGATGTAAAACAATTTTTAAAATGTTTATATCTACTGCAGATAGAATAATAATTGTGCTGAATACCATGTACACAGAAAATATTTGCACTGCACAGTGTTTTTCTTTATTTCATAGAATTCCTTATTTCATTTCTACATAACATTCTATTTTTTCACATAATATACTCTTTTGATTGAACTTGGTAACTCCTGTGTAGTCACAAAAGAGGCTTTCCATCTGAATGCTTGTACACATAGCAGACAGATGACACGTGTCTCTCTCAGCTGCTTACACGTGTTTCCTAAGGAGGCAACAAGTAGCCCCACAAACCTATCTATGCTGCATCTTTCTCAGGCTCCACTTGATGCCCACAGAGCCTGTTGGAGAGCTGGAGTCAGCAGGAAGCAATTTTTGGTCTTTCGATGAAGGTATGCACAAAAGGAATCTAGCTAGCAGAGCACTACGTGACACCACAGTGCACTCAAGCTGTGGCGTGGTTTCTCCAAGAAGGGTGAGGGTGGAGCCACCGGGAGAGGCGCAGTGCTCTAACACCTGGCTTCCGTGCAGGAATAAGGTCTGAAATGACTCTGGAGGTGAACTGAAAGCTGTGGTTCCAAAGAAACATAATGTTCCTCTTTTACTGATTATCAAGAGTTTGTATTTATCCTATAGTGTTTTTCAACTTTTAATCCAGTCCACCGTATTCACTGGGAGCCCTTTCTGTGCTGAGGACTAACTACTCTGGCAGATACAAACACGTGTGGATAAAATCCCCACCTTCAAAAGCTTATAAGTTGGTAAGGTTGTTAAGGCAGATCCTCACACAATAGTTTATATCATGTTAAAGTAGGTTCCATGTATCTTTCATCTATCTGTATCTCACCCAATACCTAGCAGTAAAGATATTTCAATGCTAAATGTCATTGTTATTAGTCTTCTGATGTTATCTTATTCATTGCTACAAAAGTTCAGTAGTGCCTATTTTTCAGGGAATGCCCAAACTCCTACATGAAGAATATACGTTTTCATAATTAGTGATTGTATAATCTTCCCATTCATTTGATGAATCCAGATGTCTTCTGACAGTTTTGTACTTCAGCAGATAATCTATGACAAAATACCTCCAGAAATGCTAACTTGTCTTGCCATGCCCACTATCTACTAAGGGACTTCTTGTCTCCCAGTGTGTTATTTGCACCTTACACAGAGTTAAATGATATATGTCCATGAATCCTATCTCTGCCCCCAAGAACCACTCAGCTAAGTAGAGGAAGTAGGTAGGTATGCATTCTTTTTTGTACTCACTTGAAACAAAACACACTTAGGAATTCATATTATCATGGAAATCATTTGGGTCTTTGAATACTTGGGCTTCAAATTCCATCTGGCTCTGTAAAACAAAAGTGCTCAACTTAGTCCCACTTCCAAAAAAGGTAGAATGAAACAAAACACTGAGTATGGCTCTCCAGTGTTTCTAGAGAAACAAAGAAAGAGGGAGTGTGTGTGTTGTGAACTTCTAGTGTTCATGTTCTTTTTACTCATAGATTTGGTCAGGGCTGACTATACTCCAAGTGTGACACTTGGTTCTGGAGCCAAAAAGATGAACAAGACCCTGTTCTCTGGCTCCCTAAGAGCCTCCAATTTAGTGGCAGAGACTGGCCAGAACCTAGGAGACAAGACAGGCTGTGAGGGCTGCAGGAGCGGGTAGCTTGTAGTGGCCTCTGAGAGTCCAGCAGGAAGGATCCAGGCACAGCTAACCATGGAGGGGCAGGAGGGGGATAAGGCTTCCTTGGCAGGAGTAGGCAGGCAGCCAGAGTCAGGAAGCAATGTGTTTAGCGGTGCAAAGACCAAGTGCCTTCATGGGCTGTATTAAGGAAGTTGGTGTGACCTCAGCATCAGCAGTGTCAGAAGTCCTTGATAGTGTGGGTTTTAAATCTGGAGAATTCTTTCAAGAACCTTGGCAGTGAGAGGGAAATCTTAGACTAAAAGTAGAAGTAGCTGTGGAATGAAACTAAATTTTTCTTCCCTGTTGCCCTCTTACTCTTCCATCCTCTTTCCTTTCTTCTCTTCGTTTTGTTTTTCAGATGGCACCATTGTAGATCTTTTAGAATCTTGATGGGAAGATTTTACGAGTGAGGACAGAGGTTGAAGACGTGGAGTAAAGGTAAAGGTAGATGATGAAGTACTTTTGGGAAGAAGCGAAGGAGGAGGAGGGAGACGGATCTGGATCTCCCTATTGGACACTGCTAATGTCCAGCCATCCAGTCACACAGCCACTTACCCTTCCATTGTTCCCTAGGCACCTAGCAAATGCTACACACAAAATGTGGGCAAACAATGAGAAAAGAACCAAGTGCACGACATCAGGGAGCTCACGTCTGTGTAGTGTTTTATAGATAATGGAAAGAACTACAGAGTAAAAGAAAGCATTACAAGGGGATGGCATGAGTAAAGTAATTCAGGTGGTTGAGATGCGCCGTGAGGAAATGATGTTCGAACAGAGATGAGATGAAGGGAGAGACCAAGACCTGCAATGGCTTGGGAAAATGGCCTTGGAGCTGAGCAACAGCAAATGTAAAAGCAGGGTGGGAAGGAAAGCAAGACAGTGGGATGCAGCTCTGGGGACACAAGAGATGAGGGTGTGTGGGAGATGCGGCTGGAGAGAGGAAAGGGGGCCACTGTTTCCTCTTTGGAGCCCACTAGGGGGTTTCAAGCAAGGGTGGGGGCGTGACAGCATTTGCATTTTTAAAGATAGCTGGTACTGTGGAGAAAAGGCAGTAGGGAGACAACAGTGGAAGCCAGAAAGCTAATGATTTTGGCTGGGTGACAGATAAGGTGCCTTGACTAGCTCAATGGCAAAGAGATGTGTGGAGAAAAGGTTATAATCAAAGGTATATTTTGGAGGAGTAGCTAAGAGTGTTACAGGAGAGAAATTGAGAATGGCTCTTCGGTTTCCAGCTGAGCCAGAAGGTGCACTGGGGTGCCATTTAATGACAGGGGAGACTCGAAGGGGGTAAGTTTGGGAGGAAACCCAGAATTCATTGAGGATATCTAAGGGAACATGTGGAGTAGACAGCTAGAGGGACAAATTAGAGCATAGGAAATATTAACAAATCACAAATCACATCATCTAGCCTGCGTAAACCCCGATGAATCAATGCTTTTGAGACAAATCTCAAACTACAGAGAATGTGGTCCTTCTGGAAGCCACCGCCTCCCTCCCAGCCTCAAGCACCCTGGCTGCCCTTCTAAGACAGACGCATTGTCCTATCTTGCTCACGGTTTCTCTTTCTTCCACACGCTCTTTACCTATGTCGCTCCGTTTGCTTAGATTATTTCCTCCCATTCGACCTGGTTATTTTTGGAACCCAGTCTTTCTGAAAAGCCTTCCTATGCCACACTCATTCCCCAGGGTATCCTCATGTTGATGCTGATGTCCTGCTTTCTGCCTCTCCCCAGGACCCACACATACTCCCATGGACTCTGGCCCGGAGCCCCTAGGTTCTTCTACTACTGAGTGGACGAACATGAACATGTGGCCTAAACTCCACACCTGTCAGCCCTAGTTTCCACATCTGTGAAACAAGGACCATCATACTACTTATTTCACAGGGTTGTTAGAGGTGTTAAATGAGGTGATACGGGACTCAGTGCTTATGAAGTCACCTGGCAGAGAAGACAAATCACACGTCAGTAAATATAATAATACTCATCATACTGTTCCATAATTATTTTCATGTTGGTTTTTGCCCTTGAATGCAGCCGTTGAGCCTTCCATCTGTGCTTCTAGCCCATAGAGTAAGCCTCATCAACAGTTGCTAACACAAATAAATTCACGAATGAAAGATAGAGCACTGGGCTACAATCACACTGTAAGATGAAGCCACAGGCTCCTCTTTAGTGGTCTTTCTGTATTTAGAAACTATTCTCTTTATGAGTAAATTTGATTCTTCTGCTATATCGTTCACCAAACCAAAAAGTTCTGGGTTGTTTCTCCTAGATAGTATTTTAGCATGGCTGAGTGAAAATAATACTGTTACCTTTGGATCAGGCAGACATGGTCCAAAGGCTTCCAGAAGAAGAGCTTCTTCTCTCACAGCTTTCTCATAGTCTGCAAAAGACAACTTCCCATCATGGTCATAGTCCTGGGGACAGGAGGGCGGGCAGCAGCAATGTGTCAGTCAACATGAAGCTTACCACAAATGCGTACTCTTTTCATAATCAAATATTAACAGAAGAAAGGTGTTAGGAAAGTAAGAGATTAGGTTATGAAATTGAAATGAATTTTGGGGAGTGCTATGGATGGAATTCGGGGCATTGGCATGCTAGGCAAACTCTCTGCAATGGGTTATGCCACCAGCCCAAAAGAATTTTTAGCATTATAATTAAGAGCACATTTCAAGTGTTACATTTAATTAAACAAGAAAATTACAATTATTATAATTTGAATTTTTATTTATAGTCCATATGTAGCCCATAGATTTCATTAGAGATCTTTAAATCTCCATACTTACCATTTTCTTAAGTGTTATTTCAACCAAATCTTTAATTCCTTCATCTGGGTCTTCCTCAGATGGCTGTTTGAGGAGGCTGTTCTTTAGCATGTGAAACATTTCCTCCTTTGAAATGAAGCCATCCCCATTCAAATCAAACACGTCAAAGCAATCTTTAAAAAAAAGTTATGAATTTGATTTTTCTGCTAGGGTAACATTTTCTCTGATTAAGTTTTCAGGGTCAAAATCTATCTAGTTGCACCCCGTGAACCTCATTGCCATCTGATTTTCATAAGAAAGGTATTGTACATTAGTAGAATATATTCAACAATTATTGGAAAAAGTTCTCTTACCCTTAGTTATGAAGAGTCACACCAAAGAACAATTACTTGGACATTTCCGTCTTGCAATTCTTAAAAAGCTGATTAAAATAAGACTTTTCAACAGAATTCATCAGCATTAATTAAGAATCAAGGAGAATCAGAGCAATTAGATTACTTTTCTCCGGTTTGATGGCTGCAACCCAAGTAACATGAAATACTTGTACAGAAATGTATGCAGTACATGTACAATTAGCATATTTAGTAGTGTGTATGTCATCTTCCTTGGCATGCATCATTTCTCACAATTGCTTGATTTTCCTTTTTATTAATTGTTTTATTCCTTGTTGACTTCAATTCTCTCCAGGAAGAAGTTGTGTGAGGATTTAAAGCAGGCAAGGAACCAATCAACCAAACAAACAACCAGCAAACCCACTTAGTTGGCTGGTTGGGGGATGGTGATAGAAATGTTTTCCCTATATTAATCATATACAAGCCAGTAGGGTAAGCAATACTCTTACATTTCATTTTTTCTTCCAAAGATCCTCGAAGAAAAAGTGATAATCCATGAACCCATTCTGTCACGCTGACTATGCCGTCATTGTCTCTATCAAAACCTCGGAAGACTAGCAGGGAGAGAGGGAAGGAGCAGAAGATGATTGTGCTCATTTCAATTCCCTTTAAGGTTTCTACGTTGCATTACTTGTATTTAAAATCAGAAAAAACTTCAGAATCGCACCATTCTGTGTTCTCATTTGACAAAGGAGGAAACTAACACATTATAAAGTCTGAAAACTCTTTTAACATTCAAATTTCCTCTTCATGTTTTGTGGGAACAAAGAACATTCTGAATATGTAAATATAAGTATCAGTAATTAATAGTGATATATTTATACATTAAATATGCTACTTACAGTATGTATGTTCAATGTTAATATGAAATATATAATTTTATATTTTGTTACCCAAGACAAGTAATATATGGGAAGACTGTATCATAGTTTTTATTGTTATTATCTAGGATGTAAGGAAATTTAAGTATCCTTTCTAAACTATTGTATTTATTATATTTACTAAGTAGAAGAAATGTTTTGGGCCTTTTGATATCGAATAAGGGAAATTTCTCCCCTCAACTTGACACTGTCTTCTTTTAAATATACAAAATAGGTAGACTATCACTTACACTTCTATGAGCTTTGGAAAATTAAATTTTTATATTCAACTAAAACTGGGAATGATGAGCATTAAATGTCCTACCAAGAGCATGACCAAACACCAAACTTTTGTGCTGCATCTATGGCTGGATTTGACTGATTTGAATTGTGTTTCTTACCTCTATCCATAATCATGTCATCTGTCATCCCAAATGTCATGTGCAGAATGTTCCGAAATGCATTGCGATCTAGTCCAGTGGCCGCTCCTGGTCGCTCTGTTGCTTCCCCCACCAAGTTATAGAAAAGCTTTATAAGACAGTTCACTTCAAATTTATTAACTGTAAAATAAGAAAATTAAGATTTAACAAACGTACTCATTAAATCTTTAAGTGATAACTTAAAATTTGCATTTATGAATTTATATACATGCAGTATCAAAGACATCAAATATGTAGCTGTTCCTAGATTATCCTATTTTAAGGTTCATGACACTTATGTTCATGGAAGATGATGGCCAATGATTCTCCAAAAAGAAGCAGGATTTCTTCCAAACAAAGGTCGACTATGAAATAGACGTAAGCTCAATCACATTTAGGAAAAAAGAAAATATTAGCCAAATAGCCTAAATAATGATTTTGGTGACATTATAAAGTCGACAAGGCCAGTAAAGGAATGATTTAAAATAAGAATGTTGATGTTTAAGCGTGGTAACTTACTAGCATTTTGATTATAGACATTCTTGAGATTTATAATTTAGCTTTTCAGTGGAAATCAATACCAGGCTCCTGAAAACTAAATGATGGTTCTTATTTCACTTACCCTTTGTGAATTATAACCTATGTTTTGGAAATCAGAATCACATATTTTTCAATAAAGAAGTTTTAAGCATATTCTAGTATCCAATATGGCATCCTTTATATATTACGTGAAAAAAGTTAACTATGTAATTATTTAGTAGTACTTTAGAGGAAAGACATTTGTATTTAAAGGATATATACACAGAAAAGTGTTTGTACACATAATTGCAGAAAGGATAGTATTTGTTAGTATTTATAAACACTGAGGTAATTATTAGTTTTCCAACAGTCATTTGATGTATGTAGGTGGAAGGGTTACTGCCCGACATGGAGAATATAAAAATTACTCTAAATATGAAGCATGGATGGAAGACAGGGAAAATTTTATTTCAGGTGAAATTATGGTTGAATGTTTCCAGAAACAAGGACCAAACCTCTGTGCACAGATGGGAAAGCAGCACAGAAGAACAGAGAAATTACAGATCATCTTAGAGGTCAGAACAGGCTCGAGTGTGATTTCTGATTTCAAAGCCATATTTTAAGAGAAAGATTTAAAACATTGGAAGAGGAAGGGCTGGGGATTTAGCTCAGTGGTACAGTGCCTGCCTGGCAAGCGCAAGGTCGTGAGTTCGATTCCCGGTACCAGAGGAAAAAAAAAAAAACAAAGCAAACAAACAAACAAAAAAAAACATTGGAAGAGGAAGAACATAGCAAGTGAATTAAATAGCAGACAAGAATATAATAGTTATACTTTCCAATAAAAACACTAAAGTAGTTCTTAAAAGAAGTTAAACACAGGATTACCAAATGGTCTGGTCACTACCTCTGAGCATGTCCACATAAGAATTAAAATCCGGAATTTAAGCAGGTTGTAAGTACATCAAAGTTGATAACATTACATTACAGTGAATAACACAATAGCAAAGGATAGGAGCAACCCTAATGTTCATTGTTGGCGGAAGAGTTAAACAATATGTATGTCTCATACAACATTATTTGACCTGAAAGGAAAGAAAAACTATTGTGTGCTCCAGACCAAACAAACACTTACTGAGTGAAGTGAAGTGAAACAAACCAAAAGGAAGAGGGAAAGTATTGTATGATTCCACACATATTCAAGCCAAATGCATAATGACAAAAAGAAGAGTGGCGGTGTCCAGAGGCTGAGGGAAGGAGCAAATGAGAAAGCTATGGTCTAACTCCTGTAAGGGTTTAGCTGTGGAAGATGAAAAAGCTCTGGAGTTGGATGTGGTGGGAGTTACATAACAGTATGACTGCACTGTCATTGCCCCTTTTCCAAGGCTTTGCTTTTCAAGAATTCAGTGAGCCGTAGCCGATCAATGAAAAAATTACAGAAATAAATAATTTCTGTTTTAAATAACTTTTACTTCAGTATTCCCTACATTGTTCTATTGTACCATTCATTACTGCTGTTAATCTTGTACATGCCTCGTTGTAAATTAAATGTTATCATAAGAATGCATGTGTAGGATAAAATATGGGTTGGGTTCTATCTATGACTTCAGACATCCACTGGGGGATCATGAAACATATCCCCTAAACATAAGGGGGAACTTCTGTACTTAATTTCTATACTTAAATGCACGTTAAATGGTTAAAGTAGTAGATTTTATAATATACATAACATACACATATGTGCACATGTACATGAAAAGCTCTTAAAATACCCAGGATCTGTTAGTGGTTGGGGAAGAAAAACCTACATGAAAAACAATGTGTTCTGCTCATGTGCATGAAATGCTAGCTGAGAATATGTTGATTAGCCATGTTTCCATCTCAGCTGAAATAAAAATTTAAAAAAAAAGGTTTAATTTATGATCCAAAGAAACGAAGGATAATCATGAATAAATTTTTCTTGTAGAAATGACTCCTTAAATTCTAGAACAGTAGAAAAAATAGCTTTTCATCCTTTTGGAATGTTGTACATATGTTGTGCAGATCATATCTGTAGAATTGTATACTGTGGATTAATTAGATGGTTGGGCAAGATCTTTCTTTCTTCCTGGCTCAACAAAGTGTATCCATTTCATCTATGTATTATCATCTGGAAACTAAACAGAAATTTGGCTTTAGGCAGAAGTCTTCCCTTTAAACAAATTTTAAACTATTATCCATCCTGACTTGCCACTATTCCTATAGAATGTAGTAATATTTACTTTTAATGAATAATCATCAAGATTTTAAAGGCTCACTTAAAAATTTTGTGTAAGAACAAGAATCAAGAATTCTTATTTTCCTGAGAAAATTTTACTTATCTTTAAATACATGTACTCTCCTTTCAATTGTTCACAGAATGTTTATTTGCAATGCATTGCAATTTTACTGAACAGAGACTAAACCAAAATCAGTTTTGTGTACAGAAATCATTGCATTGGTGATGAGAATTTACCAAAAATGTTTACTAGATGTTTTAAGGATCTCTGTTTTTTCCCTAAAAATGAAAGTGTTTTAAGAAAAACAGCAGAATAAAATCCTCATCAAATTACAGTAATCACAGTAACACCTTAAATTATAAAATGCCTTTTTACAAACAATTTTTAGATGCTTATATTCACCATAACTTTTATTTATGGCTCCACCCCATTAAGAGAATGGGCCTTATCATATCAGATACTGATCATGATGATAAGGCACTAGAACCCGTAATCTCCAGAACTACATAAGAACATGTTTATTCTCCTTCTTGTGCACACTGGGCATGTTTTGAGGGTTATAGCTTCTCCAGTTTTTCCAAGGGGCCAGTAGTTTTGCAGTGAACACACAATGTCCAAGCTTGCACACCAGGTAGTGTCTTCCTCAGTTCAACCACATCCTGCCTTCCTAGCCTAAGTACAAGTTCTGTTTTGAATCTGAATACAGTCCTAAATTGACCTATGACTTTCCAATGTGAAATTAGAGCAGGTATCTCTAACAAGTACTTATCTTGTACTTATTAAAACCTCCCTTATCTATTGACTCCATTAGCTGCTGGAAAGCAGAAGTCTAAAGTTGAGAACAGATCCTTTACCGTGTGTTTAGCTTTGTTGATGCGTTTGATTTCCACAATAATCTTGTTCTGAGTCACAGATTTCAGTGCCATTTCAATGCACCTTCCCCAATGAGGAGCAGAGGGTGACAGCTCTTTCCCCCAGTGCATCTCTTGGGAAGCTTCCAGAATTTAAACCTGCCGATTTATTTTGTTCTAGAAAGAGTTAAAAAGCAGGCCAGGGTCCGCAATGTACTTTAGTTATGCCACTTTTCTGAATCCTGTGGTTTTGGTTGCTTCTTTATGATCAGATTGAGGCTAAAACCACAGGTCTCGTGGGCACCTATCACCTCGTTTCTACAGCGTATAAGTAACCTAGGGGGAGGGTCTAAGCAGCAAGTAAGTGCAAGAGAGCGCAGGTAGCACAACATGCCTGCATGGGTATAGTTTCTTAAGATCCTGAGCATGGGTGCCTGCCCAAAGAAGGTAGCTTCCAGGGATAAGATTCTCTTCCAGACTTCTTTTTTAGGGGAGAGAAGTAGGGGGGCGGGGTTCCATCACTACATGGGTCCTAGGGGCAAGAAGCAGCCACAGCAAGGGAATTAGCTCTGGATCAGACAGACACCTGGCCCAGGAGCCTAGGCTCGTCCAGCTCTTGATTCTTACTTACAATGCTTGCAATTTTTAGTTAAGGTGTCCGTCAGTTTCTGCAGCTTCTTTCGATTCATGCCGGATGCTAATGGAATCCCGGCGCGGCTGGTGTCTCCAGGAGCGCGGCTGCTGGAACCCTTGTGAGCCCGGGAGCTGGAGCAGCGTGGCAGGGTCTCTGTTGCCTAGAGCTTGCGTTGCTTTAGCAGACAGTGTGACCATGACAACGGCTTAGCCCTCCGCTGATTGGCTCCTGGGCTAGGACACGCGGAACACCTAAATGGCCCCTATACACGGAGCAGCCATGGCAACAGCTGGGTCGGCCTCCGATTGGCTCCTAGGAACGACACATACACGCCCAACACACAATGTGGCCATGGCAACGGTTGAAGGCAAGCCATCCGCCGGCAATTGGCCGCTCTGGCTGGGAGCTTGGTGCCAGAGTGCTGTACCATTTGGAGTGTTTCAGCCAGGCACGTTGCAGCAGAATTTGACTGCTAAGGCTGGAGTTTTAATTTTCAAACGTCGCTGTCTTTTGAGTTCACAGCCCCCCTCCTTTGCAGCGTACATCATGAAAGTCTAGAGAGTGTGGTGTCGGTACGCCTTGTCTGGGAGACGTTTTGGGTGATGAGTGTCACACCTCAGGGAGGCTTAAGTTCTTCAGGCAGATGGGAGGGATGTTGGATGTACTTCATGAAATAGCAGGCGAGTATCCAGACGTTTGTTTTTTCCTTGCCTTGAGCCGAAGGATGAAGAGTTTGCTTTCGGCGTGAACTACCTGGGAATCTGGCTCAAAATGTCATCATATTTTTGAGATTAAGAGGAAATTGGAGGCGTTTTCTCTGTCCTCCACGGGCCACCTCGGTTTTTAGAGGTGGAAGTTGTCAGGAGAATTGAGGAAAATCACGGGCAATTTTTGAAACAGGCTAACTGCCTTGTGGTGTGGGGTAGAGCCCAGGCTTGGTTTTCTGGAAAATCTCATTAAAATGGATGCTTTGCATATTTAAAAGACAGGTTCTATGCCCTCAAACCCCGCCCCCCAATAGTACTTGAATTTGTGGTGTGAGAGGACTTTCTTCTCTTCTTAACTGCAAATGAGATAACCTGTTCGGACTGACAGCAATAGAATGTGTTCAGTCAGTCAGACGCAAAAATCTACATTATTCCCCAGAGCTCCTATTTGTTTAACTTTAGTAGGGGAAATGCCTTCAGAATCCAAACTACTCTACAGAACACATACAGTACACATAAATATAATATAAAACATAGAGACAGTCTCCTTTAGACTGAAAGCTGTAACATTTGCCACCCAGAGTAACAGTCCAAAATGAAATAGTTCCAGTGTTGAGGTCTCTTGTTGTCTTTTGCTGTTTCATTCATGTGTGGAATGAAAGATTGGGTAGCGTTTGAAATCAGAGCCAAGAACGCTTGGTGAAATTGGAGGCTGGTGTTATTGGAAAGCAGTTTCCCTGAGAAGAGTCAATCAGTGTGGAATGATAGCTGCTACGAGTCGGCAGCAGGACTCTGGTTAAGGACTCTGGTTAATGTATCTAGAAGGTGAGAAACTTCTGAGATGGAAGAAAAACAAATGGGAATGACGGGCACATTCTAATTACACTCACCTTTGAATGCTTAGTGGTTTCTGTTAGATTATAGCATTGCAGCAAATATTAAAATCCTAGATGTTATTGCATTGCTCATTTCAAAAGACAGGGAGTAGGGTGGTTGTGAGTAGTTAGTAGGAGAAGGAGAAGCACATAGGCATGTAGGGTATGTTGAGGGTCGCCTTGTGCACCATCTTGGAAACAGGCCTCCACTGGTGGTGCCCATTGATGAACCTGCCTAGGCATCTTGGGGGCCAGAGTACCACGTGTGATTTCTGGAGAGTACCTATAGGGGAAATAAACAGTGGTTACCAGGAACAATCAGCTGTATTCCTTTCAAGTGGAAATACGTCGTAGGGGCAATATCACAGCCCACTGAGATTAAAATATCTTAGCTTGTGAGCAACATTTGTGAAGCACCACCTCTGCCTTACCCCTTTCCCCTGACTCTTTCTTCCTTGCTATTCTTTTCATTAAAAAGTGGGAGTGAACTATGGCGTAAAAAATACTTCTCTGAGAACAAACTGTGGAGTTGCACTTCACATGAAGTCTTACAAACCTTTGTCAGGGAAAGTGCAGCATTTATATGAGGCATGTTTTGTCAACATGTGAGTAAATGTCAGAGCTTTCATGATATTCTTGTGAGATTTGAAACCTCAATATTTTTACAGTTTAGAAACACATTGCAAGCCTGATAGAGTCACATTTCAAGGCAAAACTGAAATTTCTATTCGAAGTTTTTGGTTGCTTGTGTTCAGTACACACAGGATTGCTTTCTCAGAGCAAGGCAATTAAGTCTGAATAGTTACCTCATATCAAATCAATCAATAATAGAAAAATAAAAGCTTGTGTTTAATTTGTATTGGACACAATTTTTACGGTGCATGAAATGATCCTAGAACTTTCCAAAATTCAAGCAACCTTGAGATGGATGCTTTTGTAAATACAAAAGTACATTAAAGTGCCTATTAATGCTATAATGTTTCCTTTAATTTTGTGTGCAAAACAATCTTTCCTTTGACTCACCATGTATTGGAATGTTGCCATGATAAATAACTTGGACCTTGACTTGATGAAAGTGTTTTCCTTAACTTAGACCTTTATGGTGAAGGCTGTGTAGGAAATGACATCATAGAACCGATGTCCAAGTAGAGTGCATTACAAATCTATTATGAAATAGATTTAACAAAGGGAAATTAGACAGATTAGTTCTCCACATCACTTAAGTTCAGCTGTGCTAGTTTTATTTTGTAGAAATAGCGATGAAAATTTTCAAGTTAAGTTTATCCAACTGTTTGAGTGGTTGCGTCTTCACTGCTATCTCTGGCTATGTTCTCCTCGGCTTCGTGCTTTAGGGACAAACTGCTTTCAGTACCATAGTCCACTGAACGCTGTCACCTCAGGACTTTGGTGTATTTTTCACTCCCCGCACCCTCAATTGCTATTCTTTGAAGAGCTCTTTAACTTCCCTAGGGTAAGTGAATGCCTGCTGCCTGCTTGTTCTACGCCTCAGGACTGTGTCCCTTCTAGGATGTGCCACTACGTGGAATAAATTCACTTGTTTTTCTAATCTCTTCCCTGTAGTAGACTATAAATTACATGGTGTTGCACCCTTTATTCTTATGTTTTAATCAATTTATCTCTGTGTCTATATAGCAATCCTTTGTCTATACCTCTGTAGTCTAACAACACATTCTAGTTTGTATCTTCTGTATTAATGGAAATTGGTAGGAAGAGTGCCAGTTCACCTGCAGTACCTGGTCTCAGGGAACCTCCTGAATTTAGTGGAGTATTTGGGATGGAGGGTTTCAGCTCTCTCCTGAAAGAGAGCTGGGAGGGAATAAAGAAGTTTCTTTAAAACTGACCTTTCCCCAAAGTACCCACTCAATATTCACTAGTGTTAACAAATTTCTGCACTTTGTTCCATAATAAAGGGATCTGTGGATAAAACAAATGCCCGAAGTTTACTGGTATAGTTTATGGGGTGGGCTTTTAGCGTTTATGACTGATTGGGTGTGAGTGCTACACCTGCCCTAGGGCAGATAGTTTGCATATGTAAGGGAGAGGAAGAGGCACAGCCACTCTTTCCTTTTGCTCTTGCTGCTTTTGCTATCTTCCACTGCTATGAATGGTTACCCTCTGCCATGTGCCACTCTGCCCTGGAGCCAGCTGAGTATGGTCTGAAACCTCCACAGAGTGTGAGCTCAATAAACCTTTCCTTCCTTAATTCTTGATGTCAGGTATTTTGTCTCAACAATGAGAGAAAAGTAACCAAGACATTTACTAAAGAGGTTTTACATGTAAATTGCAATATAATAATTAAGATGTGGTCTGCATTAAGTAATTATTGTGATAGCCATGAAGTTAGCAGGTTGAGTAAAGAAATTCATTTCTCTAGGCCTGCCAGAACCCACTGAGAAATCCTGTGGGATTTTCCAGGTCAGGTTCTATTGAGGGCTTGGTTTTGAGCACCCATGGCAAGTGTCATAGAAGCTGGGCTGTCTGCACAGTGACCTCAGGGACAGCAGATATCTGTCTTTTTTAACCAGTCAAGTGCAGACAACACCCTGGTTCTTGATTACTTAAGAATTGTCTATTCCCAAATAATCTAACCCTTTATTAGATTTTGTGTCTTAGCCTAGACCACTCCAACCCTTCTCAGCTGTGCTCCACAGAAAGCCTCTTCCGTTGTCAGCATCTAGCTCACATGCCCCCTCTGCGCACATGTTCTCTGACCTGGCTCTCTCTAAAGACACTTCTTGTGGAGATACTCTCCAGCAAAAGCCATCCATTTCCTCATACCTCTGCCCTGATGGCTAGAAGGAAGATAGAATCCTTGTGACCTTGCATCACTGCTTTGTTATCTTGTTAGCTCTATCTTTCCTTTACACTGAAGTTTCCCAGAAAGTATAGGCTATGCTTGCTAGGCTGCACCACTCACGCTATCTAGCCTCTGTGCTTTTGCCTAGTTCCTGCAATGGCCTGCTGCTGTCCATCTTGTGCTTCTCAAAACCATCTACAGGGTTGCTACAGACACCCAACCATGTCTCCCTCCTGCTTAATATTCAAAAGTCTTCCCTGGGCTTTCAGGGAAGGCACCTGAGGGGAAGGGGAGGGCTCAGGTCTTGCAGAGTGGTTTCCATATCCTTAAAAGTTGGAGCTCAAGCACCCACCATAGACCATAAGGTTCACTGGGGACCTGAAACCAGTCAGAATAACATGTAAACCACATGGGGACGCCATCCTCACCCTGCAGGCATTCCTTGATAGAAAAATGAAATTACTTGCTGTCTCAATTCACCCACCAATATCTGAGATTTTTACATACTTTTATTCACACTTAATTCTACAGACAGAGAAGCTTTAAAATTAAAAAATTGGACTTCCTTTTCTTTATCGATCTTTCCTACTTGGTAATTCTTGAAAAGGAAATGAAAGTTGGTCTCCTCTATTTTCACTGCTGTTCACGAAGTTGAACCTTATGAAAACATCAGCAAGTCACTGCTGACCTGCAAAGAAGTTCAATTTCATATCAACAAAATGTGAGGTTGTCTCTTTGCATATTTATCCAGTATTTCAAGCTAAGCAAAATA